AGGCAGCACCTACTGTGTATTTATAATTACACTCTCAGATTACAAAACAAAAAATTTCACAAATATTCTAATTTTATAGATGAAATGTTCAATTAAAGATTATTTATTTAGTCAGGAATTTCAGTAACAAAATTTAGCAATATAAGGCTGTTATGGTTAATTTCAGTCAGTACTTTATAATCAGTTTATAACAACTTCATAGTATTTTTTGTTATTCATTTTTATTTTCTGATGGATAGAATGGACTTTATTCTTGCTTTGACATATTTATCTGAGTTCTTCAATATGTTAAAAGTAAGTTCAGCTACTTGAAATGATAATTTGCTGACAATTCTGAAAAACTTTGAAACTGCCTACTCTAAAATAATTAGTAATAGTCAAATGGATTCAAAAATGTTTAACACAAGAAGGAAGATGCTGAGATTAAATAAAACTTTAAGCTTATTATGAAACCAATAATTTCCCTAACAGGGTTTTTGTAAAAGGTCACACACACACACACACACACAGAAAAAAAAAAAGAGAGAGAGAGAGAGAAGAAAATAAAAAAGAGAGAGAGAAAGAAAAGAAAAAAAAATCTGAAAGATTTCAGATTTTAAATTACGTCCAAGAAGGTTTTTTTTAACATTTTGTGTGTTATTAAATTTATTTATTAAATATCATAATCTTTGCACTTAAACCATAAAATTCAGTTCAGTAGCAATGTCATAAAATAATTTTAAAATGAGCATATCTTTAGACTTTCTGATACACAGTTCCGCACCCACTGGACATAAAAAGGTCCCCGCCCCGGTAGAGTATTGCCATTGCTCACTTTTAAATTATTGAGTTTGTTACTCAAAAATTCGTTCAAGTTTCACAAAATATGAAATTGATAATAAAACAAATTCCAAATTTCAAATTTGGTCTTCCACATGCTCATATTCATAGGAGGATTAGGTCACTCAAAATTCGATGGCTCTATGTACCATTGTTTTATCACAATGTGAGAAATATACATACATTTATGCAGATTTTTTATTATTTAATTTCTCAAATATAATGCAAGACTCTAACATTTGGTGACAACAGATTGAAAAGTGAAACGGGCGTTTATAGTGATTCAACGCAAAATCACAAAATGAAAACAATACTCTTTCAGGGATGAAGCCCCTTTGAACTAAAAAAAAAAGAAAAAGAGTGTCTAATATTTGAATTTCGCCAATTTAACAAACTCTTTGCTCAATTCAAGCATGACATCCTCCCAATATTTGAGATAATGAAAATGTACTACACAGGGAAACAGAATAGTAGCACCAAAAAAAAAAAAAAAAAAAAGTAAGTAATGGAAAAAAAACAAAAGAATACCAAGAGAATTTTTTTTAAATATCTCCATTTTTTTAAAGTTTTAAATGCTCATTTATTATATTACCATTACCTTAAAGCATTTACATTAATTTTAATTAATAGAGAGCTAAATAACTATATAAATCTAAGGTGACTGAATTACCTTAATTGAATAAGGTATCTTATATCAATACATTGAATAAGGCATCTTATATCAATTGCCATATCAAAATGGCAAGACAAATGGAATAACAGTGAAACGGGTAAAAGAATACATCAAAACTTTGCAAAGGTAAACCCACGACGACTAATTGCACACCTACAATTTGTGCACTTTGTTTCAGGCCACGTACCTTTTCCCGAATATTTTGAAAGGTCTGGTATTTCAAACACAAGTACCTGTATTTGTGCCAGCTGGGAATGCCTGAACATTTTATTACTAACTGCTCACTCACTAAAGATTTTCATATTAAAATGCCAACAACAAAAATTAAAGCTTTCAGTAAATTCTTAGTAAAACAAAAATACACAGTGCAAAAAATCACAAAAACAATGGACATCCTAACAAAATTGGGCACAGATTTATGTCAAGTAATATAATTTCATATAACAAAATCTAATAAAGATGTAATAATATAATAAATAAAGGAGTAAAGTAATAAATGCAATCTATAATAAAGCAAATAATATGTGTTCATAATTTGAAAAACTGATTAATTTCTAGCAAAAGGTATCATAACATATTATATTTAAAATGTGCATGTATTTAACATGTACATGCATTCAAATTACGAAAAATAAATACAGTCAAAAGTCGTTAATCCGGACTCGTCGGGACTTCGGCGATTCCGGATTATCGATTTTTCCGGCTTATAGATCAGCAGTTTAAATCTCGTAAGATGGCATACAGAAATTCTAAAATTAAAAATATGAAACCGTAATTTATGAAATAAAGAACAATTATGATCTAAAGGGTATCAAAATTTGCAAAAAGAAAAAGCTTAATATTTATTTGTTTACTTTATTAAACATTTTTCTTTCAATGTAAGTTGTTTTAAGTTTCGCTTCGTTTCATGTGATAATACTTTCTCTTTAATTCTATTAAACAGACATAATTTCTTGTTTCAGTTTACAAAGTTCCGCCGTTCAAGTCCTATAATTGCTTGTGTCAAGAACACCGACTAATTTGTCAATCGAAATTTTTTTGTTTTCAATAACCTCTGGTCACTTTTCTTCGCTATCGGAAGCCGAATTATAATGACGAGGAACTTGTTTTTAAATCATATCAAAGACGGAGAGCATATCGAGATGAAATACTACATTTGGTAAGGAATTATAAGCCAAATAAAATAAAAACAACATCTGCGCGAAGATAAAGATAGTGCTGACAAATCAACTTCCAATTCATTACGCGCCCGCCACCGAGCAGCGTGAAATTGTAAACAGATTTCGGATTTCAAAAACATACTTTCGCTTTAGATCCTTTACATATTAACAAATATATATCGGAAATTCTATTTGATATAATCGAAAGTTTAAGCTTACTTTTATAAAATAGCTCTACAGTCTGCAAAAAATAATAAGCCGGATGCAATTCGAAAATTAGGAATAACGCAATCATCAACATAACTGAAATAGATAATTATTTAGCTATACGTCCATTATACATAAAATGCGCAACGCGAAAACGTTATTCTGCACTTGCACACACTCATATGCGCAGTCGTAAAAGGTCTTACGCGCACATGTGAACGCCTCTGCGCATGTGTCAACGCGGCGCATCGCAGAAAGTTTTAGTTTTGATGTCCGGATTATAGATCATTCCGAATTATGGGTGTCCGAATTAACGACTTTTGACTGTACTGACTTTTTGCGATTATGAAGACATGATGCATTGGGAGTTAAATTGTCATAAAGATATTATAAACTTGAAAATTAAGTTACAAAAAAGCCTACCCATGTTGATTCTGTGTGATCAAAGAGAGATAGGATTCAGCGACATACAAAAGGAAAAGACGAAAAACTTTGGAAAGAAAAAGTGCTATTATGGAAGACATTAGAACAATATATAATGTATAATATGAAGAATACAATAGAAACCTTTAAACTGGGCAACTCATGAAAGAACTGCAGCAAAATGAAAGGAATTTTGCAGGAAGATTTAGACAACATTTTAGTTGAAATGATACAAATAACAAAAGAGGAACTTCACAATAAAGAAATAGCATATACACTGCTTAAAAATAAAGAGAAATTACAAAAGAAATTCATTAGAGAAAATTTTTCAACCAAAATTTATGTAGTAAGTTATGCTAATAATGTGAATATAATTATTGTATAGACTTTATTTGTAAATCAGCCACAATATATGGCAATGTAAAAATTTAAGAATTATTAATAAATACTAGACAAGGGGGGACGTGGGCAAAACTGATTAACCGTAATAATAGAGGGATGGTGTCCACGTACTCTGTTGCTACTACTACTACCTTAATTAAATAGTTTGCATGCAATTTGCAATTGTTGCTTATTCTGATATTTTTCATGGTTACATAATGATTTAACTGAAAAAAAAATTGTACAATATGATATAACATTCATATCTGATGGCCTGACATCCAGGTTACAGCCCCTTGATCACGTATTAAGAACCCATTCAAGGATACCGTTCAAGACTAATACACTCAAGACATTGCAATTTTTTAACATTCACATTTAAGAAAGATAGAGAAATTGAAATAATATAAAACAACCTGATTCACTAGATTTTATTGCAAAACGTTTTAAGGAATATAATACTTCAAATGCACTGAACAGCACAGAAAATGAATGCATTTGGAAATAAACCACATGAGAGACCCAAAGAGGACAGTTTTGATGGAAATATATTGACATTTGTTTCCAACAAACAGAATGGTGTTAGTAATTCTTAATTATATTTTTACTTCATAATAAAGAAAATAATATTTAACAATTACTTTTAAAATTTGTTCAATAAGTAAAAAATAGAATTTTAGGAAAAACTTTTCTAACTGCGACATGCACATTATTCATGTAAATGTTCCCCCCCCCCTTTTTCATGGCCTAAAACATAGTCGGCAATTATATGAGAAAGATTACTTAAGGAAATATGGTATTTGTCGGTCTACTGAGTAAAAAAAAAAAAGCTATACTGCACATAGCTTAATGTATTTTGCATATGAAAGATATGCAAAATACATTAAGCTAAGATTAAAAAACCCTTAAATTCATTCTACACACTTGAATTCCTAATCACTTAAGAAGATAAATTAATATTCAATGAGCAAATTTATAACATTATAATAATAATATATGTCAAATTATAATAATATAATAAATTTATTATAATTATATATATGTCAATTATAATAATATGTTATAAATATAATGTACATTATCACTTAATATTAAATTTAGAACAATATACTTAACATATATATACAATATAATAATAAACAATTATAATAACTTAATAATTTCAATGCAGTTCATAAATATGCTTATACATTTTAATTTCTTTCACTTCCCTTAAAACCACTTAAAAATGAACTAATTATTACAACACATATTTTATGAATTGATGATATGGTACAACACATTAAAAATATAAAATATAATTGCTCGGAATGAGAGAATATAAAAATTGTACTTACAATTAGTAGTATTTTGTACTATATGAACAGAATAACTCTGCTCTAACTTAAACAGCTGTTCATCTGTTTGTATAATCTTTTGTGGTTGAGGCCATAACAAATGTAGTTTGCTGTCAGTTATCAGCGGTAAGGGTGTGATGAGGAATGGTGGTACCTGGACTGGCTAAATTAAAAATAAATAAATAATTCTAATGCATAAGAATCTCAACCGAAAAAAAAACATTTATTTAATCTAAATGCATGCTCTCAGTTTATTTCTAACAAGCAAGCTACCTATAATAATTTGCGTTTTGAAAACTTCAGATTACAGTCTAACACATCACAGAAAGTTATACATAACACAGGAATTTTACTATTCAATAAGCACCAAGGAAATAAAAATTAATATTGTAAAATCAGGTAGAAACAATAATAATGATAGATTTGTGCAGATTTTATCTAAAGTTTACAACAATTTTGATGGTGAATGAGAAAAATCTATCTGCCTCAGAAGCCAAAAAAAAATTCACTAGCTGTAAAGTTTTTCATTTTCCTAGTATTCAGTATTAAAATTAAATCTCTATTTCTGACACAGTTTATACATATGAAATTCTACTGAAAATACTAATATGTATTAGGTAGTTTTTGATCATCCTTTTCACCCTCACTGAAAATCCATGAAAAAGTATTGATGAGGAAAGCATTGTGTTGCCCAAAAGTACTTATGCAACTACACATAATGTTACTAAAATGCAGTTATGTGGAAACCCGACTATACACATACAAGTAGCATATGTCCTTTTGCATTTTGAAATTCAACACACATTTTTCTTACAATGAATACATTTGTTTTGTCATAATGAACCATAATGAGTGTGGAGTTTGCTCTCTTTTATTATGCTGATTATTCATTATGCTGAAGTTTCAATTGTTGTTGGTGATTGTGAATGGCCACTGCACAAATACCATTGTCGTGCGCGATGCTGAGTTTCCGTGTTTATTTGATTTGCTTTTAACAAAAACAGATTGATGTATATATAAAAACAGTGCTGGGGAGAACAACAGCCAAAAAAAAAAAAAAATTACAGAAGGCCTTTCTCAAAAAAGTTAAACACTTTACTTTTTTAATGAATGTATAAAAATAGATAGCACTAGATGCACCACTAAAATAGATGTAAATATACATAAATAAACATTTCACTCCAAAATCTCCAATAAGCTCACAAATGCGTTCCTAAGCCAGCAATGAGTTCATAATTTTTCATTTGGGGTGCAGATAATTAGAAAGTATTATGTATTACACATATACAATAAAAGTCTGAGATTTGGATTAGGGATTTTGAAATTTTGGGATTTTATATCACCAGTTTAAATCTAGTATGATGACACACAACATTGGGGTTGTTTATGTCAGAAAGAAAAATGCTAATACTAAAAAGCCCCAGTGGGCTGAAAGTGTGATTTTGGCCAACATCAAGACATCAATCAATTCATTGTCATAGCATGACTCCCTAGCCGAGCAGATGTTTGGAAGTGACCTGTCAGGAATTTCAGTTGTGAGGGAGAAAAACTGCACATATGGCATGCCTTGTTGAATATTGTATTCCCCATTTCCAGATTTTGTAAATGGGAGTGTTTTTAGAGGGGCTGTTGTTTTAATTTTATTTATATATACATATATTTACTTCTTGGATTGGTGGTCTGCAGATCTCAATATTAAACCACTCCAGATACTGGACATCTGGATCTCACACTTTACATTGTGTGTGTGTATATATATATGTATTTTGAATCTAAAAACGGTTAAAAACTTTCTTGCTTATTCATCTCTTACCTGAGGAACATATGCATTTGACTTTGAAGGTGTTTCAGAAATTGTAGACAAGGATTGAAGAGATTCACTGAGGTCATCAATACTATTTTTCACTGAATGATCAGGATGGAAACCATTTGTACCTATTATGAAAATAAAAATTTATTAAATAGAAAGGAACAATATTTTTATAAGTAGGCACTTTCCCACAGCAGGACTATATTTATAAAAAGTTACAATCACCTTGGCATAAAAAGTTTGGTTCCTTCCTCTTTAATAGCCACACTATTTGATCTTTTTTTAAATATATATACAGTCTGTCCTGTAAATGTTGCGACAAACTTCTGGTGGAGGTAGGGCACATCATAAGGATTAAGAATTGCATAGGAACCTATGGCCCAGAAATGTCGGGGTAAGTGGTAGCAGAGGTAGAAGATGGGAAAGGAAACAAAAGAATAATTAATTTGAAACATTTATTCAACATGAATACAAATGATGTATGGCAGCCTGAATGCTACAACAGATGCTCAAACATGCCTGACACCGACGAACCATCGATTGTTGGACATGTTCAAACACAACTGGTGTTTCTTTGATTGCAGCAGCTGTGCAGGCGAATCTTGCTAGAAGATCCATTTCAGACACAGCAGGATCATGATAGACGACACTTTTGATGGCTCCTCACAAAAAGATATCAAGGCTCGATAAATCCGGTGAGCATGGGGGCCAGGGAATCAGTCCATCACGCCCAATCCATAAATGTGGGAATAATCTGTTCAAATGGCTACAAACATCCAGTCCAGAATTAGCAGGCACCCACACATTAATTTTGAAGCATTGTTGTGCTATGTGGTGCTGCATACTGCAGGGTTTTCTTGAGCCCACAAATGCTGATTGTGGTGATTGAATATGCCATTCTTATTAAATATGGCCTCATCCATGAACAACACATAAGCTGGGAAGTTAACATTATGGGTACTTCTTGCACAAAGGCAAGAAACTGTGCGGTAAGCACATGTTCAGGATGGTCATCCGGGAGCAGTTACTGAACTCTTTGGAGATGAAAGGTGTAGAAGGACTCGGCATTCAAAGCAAGCTCGATGCTGGTACAAGACATTCTTAATTGAGAGGCAATGGCACATACGCTGGTCCTTGGATTACTCTCCACTGTATCCAACATGCTTTGTTCCCTAACGACCGAGCGAGTCGATCATGGCCTGCCCTCACTTGTCCTGCCATTTCTTAATGACCCGTAGTCACACAAATTTTGATGCAGATGTGCAAACAAACTGTAGTGTGGTCTATGTTTGTCGGGGAAACTTTCTCGATAAATGCGTGCAGAGTTTGTCCATTACCCTCAGCTATGCCGTACACTAAGTGCATGTCTGCAAGCTCTACGTTTGTATAGCATTCCATGCTCTTCATTTGTGCCTGCTGCTCGAATGAGGCAATCCTCACTTTTCACTAGCACTCCCTTGTACAGCACCCCTTGGCGGCATACAGTGATGTTTCTGGGCATGGTTTCCTATGCAATTCTTAATCTTTATGATGTGCCCTATCTCCACCAGAAGTTTTTCGCAACATTTACTGGACAACCTGCATTACAAAGAAAAATAAAATAAAATGCCAAAAACAAAAATTTAACCTGTCTTGTGCTATAGAGCTGCAACATATTTCTTTGGTGCCAGGTGATTCCAAATTAGTTTATCTCTTTTAAGTGATAATTGTCTTAATAACCATTGTTCACGCAATTATGCTTTTAACCTAGTCTTTTTTTTTTAATTGCAATGAACTTCAGTATTTGGAATTTTAAATATTTCACAGCAGATCAAGCAAAATTTCAGTCTGTTGAATACCTACCCAAGTAGCAAAGCAACGAAGTTGCAAACTCGTCACAGATGTTGTTGCAAAAACATTGCAATATGTCGTCATTAAGACGCCCAGATATCCGCGAACATCCACTGTTTTGCAATTGTTGCAAAGACGTCTTTATTACATCTTTGCAGATAAGGTTTTAGTCGCATAGACATTATTATTATGTCTTTTGCGGGTGATATTTTGGTTGTGAAAGCATTGTATCACGACTATTTAAAGACGCCTAAACGTTCGCAAAATTCCACCTTTTTTGCAACAGTTGTGAAAGTGTCATTATGTCCTTGTGTTAGATATTGATTTATGCAGAAAAATAAGTTTAATAATTAATATATTTTTCTTCTTTTTTAAAATTTTGTATTCCTTGTAGTTATCTAAAGTTTAAATATTTTATCATTTCCTGAAAACCAGAAGATAATACAATTTTTTCTCTTTAGACTAAATAAGCAAAATTAATAATAGCCTTAATTATTTTCAGTACTTTAACTATAGTTTTTAAATAACTTAAATTCTAAGTTACGATTATTTAAGATTTCATCATTTTTTTTTTTTTTCCTTAAGTGCTCTCACTTAAGGAAATGAATCTCTCACTTAATTATGAAAGTGGTAACATTGTATAACATAAATGTATAACATTGATAGTAGTTTAAGTAAAAACTCATTAGTAAAAAAAAAGATATTTGGAAATTATGACCATTCATAGTTCACAAATTAAAAATCCTGTTGTTAATTAAAAGGCGCTGTTCGAAGTCATGTAGTTTTAAAATAAAATATTTACAAGGTTGTTCAATAAGTTCGCGGAGCGCCATCTATTCGTCAATATTAGACCTAAAACTTCGACGCCATTTTCATATTTGTTCTTTCTTAGGAACACGTCAAAAGTTTCATTTCGATCTGTTAATTTATTCATTGTTTAACCGCCCTTTATATCTAACGTGTTGTGCCTTTTTTCAGGTATGGATAAAATTGAGCAACGTGCAGTTATCAAATTCTTTGTAAAGAAAGGTTTAAAGGCAATGGAAATTCATACCGAAATGGTGAATGTGTTGGGTGAATCTGCTCCTTCAAAAACAATGGTTTGCAAGTGGGCTAGTTTATTCAAAAGTGGTCGTACCAGCCTTGAAGACGATCCGCGAGAGGGACGTCCAAAAACTGCATCAACACCGGAAATCATCGGAAAAATACAAGATATGGTATTGGAAGACCGTCGATTGACTGAAAGAGATTTAACAGAGGCTTTAGGCATTTCATTGGGCACAGTGAGCAATATTTTGAGTGTTAATTTGGGTTTCAAAAAACTCTGTGCAAAATGGGTGCCGCATTCTCTAACGATGGAGCAAAAACACATTCGGATGCGACTTTGCCAGCAACATTTGGAGCGTTTTAAGAAGAATAAAAGCGACTTTATCCGTCGATTTATCACAATGGATGAGACTTGGGTCTACCATCATGATCCTGAATCAAAACAGGAGGCTAAGGAGTGGTGTGAACCCGGCTCTTCGGCGCCGAAGCGAGTTTGTGTGCAAAAATCAGCCAAGAAGGTGTTAGCATCAGTTTTTTGGGATGCGAAAGGAATTTTGTTTATAGATTACCTTCAAACTGGCAAAACAATTAATTCGGATTATTATTGTAACCTTTTGAATCAATTAGACGAAAAAATTCGTGAAAGAAGACCCGGATTACAGAAGAAGAAAATCATTTTCCACCAAGATAACGCACCTGCGCACACAGCTCAAAAAACCATTGCTAAAATAACTGAATTGAAGTACGAATTGTTGCAACATCCAGCCTATTCGCCAGATTTAGCTCCCTCCGACTTCTGGCTCTTCCCACACCTCAAACAATATCTCCGTGGAAAACGATTTTCTTCAAACGAAGAGGTAATAGCTGCCGTGGAGGGATATTTTGCAGAGCTGCCGAAAAACCACTACAGTCAAGGGATCCATAAATTAGAAGACCGTTGGAATAAGTGTATTGAAGTTGAGGGAAAAGTCTTTTTTACAAATAAAAACTGGTTTCGTTTCCGTTCCGCAAACTTATTGAACAACCTGGTACGTTTCAGATGTGCGTAATTCTTTTAGTTTCATAAGTGTATGCTACATGAATGTTTTATTTGTTCTTTGAGAATAGAAATAATTAACGGAAAAATTTTATATGTTTTTAAACTGTGCTATTTCTAACCCTGTAAAATGTTTTATTTTAAGGAAGAGTCCTTTCTTAGATATTATTTTGACACTGTCACTTTTGATACAACTAACTTTAGTATAGTGCTGTTCTATGGTAAAATTACTACAAAATCGTTTCTGGGTAAGGTGACCTCATTACAACCTTTCTAGTTAGTGCCACAATAAAGTGTTTTTTTTTTCATCGAAAGAATTCATTTTAAGTGGAAACACGTGTCATCATGTCGTTTTTTTGCTAAAGGACGTAAACAAGATATGTGGTTTCTAGCAAAAGAACTTGGTGTGAATGTTTACAGAACAAAGACAATAGTTGATATTAAGGATGGCCATTTTAATGAGTATAGGGATAAAATGAAGAGTTCACTAAATATCTATTTTTGTAGCATTATTGCAGAACGAAAAGAAATAGAAGGAACGTGAATTTAATGAAAGAAAACAGCGTGAAGGAACGTGAATATAATGAAAGGAAAGACATAGAAGAACGCAAGCACGAGCTTGAGAAATTGAAAATACAAGTAGCTAGTTTAGGTGCTAGTCATGATTCCGTACCTGCTTTGAAACTCATTGACACGGATATCCCTAGGTTACAATTACAAACTTTAATTCCTCACTTTAATCCAAAAAGTGATGACATGACCCTTTTTCTCACTTTATCTGAAAGGCAACTAACAATTTTGAACATTCTTCAAGGGAAATGGGTAGTGTATCTCTTAGGTTTGTTACCTAATGATGTTGCAAAACTGATTGCAAAGGAACCTGCTGGTGATGCACAAGATTATGACAACATTAAGCAAATACTCTTAAAGCGTTTTAAATTGAGTGCTGAAAAGTTTCGACAGTTATTTTCGCAACATCACAAAAGTCCTGATAGTACATGGCGAGATTTTTACTCCGATTTGAGAAATTTCTTTGATGGCTGGATTGGCGAATTAAAAGTCAATACTTTTGAGAAGTTAAAAGATTTGATGATATGACCAAATTAAAAGACGGCCCTTATTTTAGATTTATATGAAGAAGCTAAAAACATCAGGAGTAGAAACATCAGTAATAACACTCCAAAGCCGTCTCAACATAGTGGTCCTAAAAATTATAAAAATAACCCTCAACTTGTTAAAAATTCAGCGACAAGGAATTCTGGCATAAGAGAAGATCGACCAACTGTTAGTTGTTATGGTTGTGGAAAATCAGACATCGTTAAGGATATGTGTTGAACCTGCTCTCCTCCTTTAAGTAAAGAATCAGCCAACTTTAAAGCAATAAACTTACATACAGTGTCTGTAGAGACACCTTACACGACTCTTAAATTACTCTCTGAGTAAAAATCAACGGATTTACGAGAATCGTCTGTGCTGATACTGGCGCTAATCACACTATAGCGGGAGAAATATTATATAATCTCTTGAAAGAACAAGGATTAGAATTTAAGAAAACTACCATGAAGGTCACTCTTGCCGACGGTATTCAAAAGGATGAAGAGGTTCACATGACCCAGGTAAACATTCACATTGAAGGAAGATCATTCCACGTAACTTTATTTGTGCTTTCCTCAGCAAAGGTAACAGGACACTTTTAGGATCGGATTTTCTTAGAAGCACTGGAATTGTTTTTGATCTGCATAAATCATTGGTGGTTTTACCACGATAATCCGCAACAAAAGTTTAAGTTGATTGATGATGATTCTAAACCCAGTGATCGAACCAAAAATGTACGTCAGGAAGTTGACACTGTAGTGTTAAGAGAATGTGAAGGACAATATCTATCCGGCTCATCAAAGATCACAATTAAATGAATTATTGAAGTCAATATTCAACTATGTTCTAACCAGGGGGAGAAGCAACACCTTTCATAGAACATCGAATTAAAAACTGGAAACCATCCCCCAGTAGCTGTACCACCATACAGAATGAAACCCTGCTAAGAAAGGAAATCTTAAAGCAAGAAATTGATAAGTTCTTATCTGAAGGAATAATTGATGAATGCGAATCCTCTTATGCATCCCCAGTTGTTTTAATACCAAAACCTAATGGAACAGTAAGCCTCTGCATAGATTACCGGAAATTGAACATGATTACAATTCCAGATTTCTACCCAACTTCCGAGAATGGATAAACTGTTACATGAGGCGAAACCTACTCCTTTCATGTCAACCCTTGATATTCATGCAGGTTATCACCAAGTGAAGGTTCATACTGATGATCAAGACAAGACAGCATTTGTATGTCCCTTCGGAACATATCGTTTCTTACGAATGCCCTTTGGTCTTCGGCATGCCCCAGCAAGATTCCAGAGATTGATAGACCATTTTCGAAATGGACTTGAGGACATCCTAACCCTCACGAGATTCACAAGGTGACCTCCGTGGGTGACAGACGTGTCTGACATGAGCTCCGCACCGAACGATGCAACCACCAAGAAGCCGGAAGCAATGGCCGGCACCACCGTCCCTAGCGCTATGGACACCACGCTGCAGCAGCTATCGACCATACTACCTTCTACTTCTTATGTTCCTGTTCCTGACTCTAGTTCCGGTTCCCGATCTTGATACTCTCCTAATGGAATTAAAGCAACTTTATCAACTGAAGGCGCAGTTTACCGACCTAGAGCAGACGCTTGCAAGAGCCAAAAGAACCATTCCTCTGGCCAACTTCGACCTGAAGGTTGTTCAACATGAAAGTCAGGTAATATTGCATTCACTTACCATGCTTGCCAAATGCTTACAGTTACCTCTCTTCAGCATTCCCCCTACAGAGGAGGAATGCATTAGCAAAATTCTTTCCATCGTAAAAAAATCCAAAATTGATTCCGCAGAAAAAGATAGACCAGTTTTTGATCATAGGCAAAACAACCAAGCCAAAAATTCAGTTAGCGATGCAGCCAAAAATAATTCTCCCTAGAAAATCTAAAATACAAAATTCTCAAAACTCCGAGAAAAAAACAATCTGAACACCAGCTAAACTTCAAACAGAAAAGCAATTATTTCAACCAGTAAAAAAATTCAAAACCTAAATATCCAACAAAAAGAAAGCTTAGGAAATCCTAAATCCAAGAAAATAAGAAAAACCGATAATAAAGGTTTTACCGAGCCTGCCCACCATGTTGTCACTAAAGGCGCGGGAAATCAAGTTTCTACACAGCCAGAAACGGTCGGCTCTCAAAGTCTCCCCCCATTTTGGAGTGAGCGCGGAGACAGCGGCCCCTCCAAGATGAAAATGTTTTCCCTGCTGAAGCAGAACAAATCCTGAGTCAAGATTCAGAGGAGCAAGGAGAGAGTAGCGCTCCCCCCCAGTCACGAAGAATTTATTTCTCCGTCGACCTGAAAGATTTTGAATTCTTAGTCGCGGTAGTGCAAAATGCAGTACCTTCGGCTCAATGCCAAATGAAAGGAAGATACCTAAGAATTGCTGTACAAACTGAAACTGATTACCGCATTGTTGCAAATATTCTCACAACGCACGGTGTGCAATACAAATCCTTCAATTTGAAACAACATCGTCCGATCAAGGCAGAGTAATTCGGGGACTCCCTAATAATGCCAAGACGGAGAAAATAATGCAAAAACTGTCTTATATTGGATACAGTGTCCTCAGTGTCACTCAGTTCAAAAACTAAAACCCAGCACCCTATGCCTTTATTCCTGATCCAGCTCAATCCATCCCTCAATGCATTTGATATCTTTGAGGAAACTAGAATGATGGGCCTCGATATCAGCATTGAAAAACATATTGGACGCAAAGGACCGAGTCAGTGCTGGCGCTGCCAGGGCTTTTTCCATAGTTCGGCGGTCTGTATGCTTCCCATCAAGTGCCTGAAATGTGCTGAACCGCATTTTGCGGCTCAGTGCACTAAGGACCCAGACCAGCCTAATACTTGTGCAAACTGCCTTGGCAGTCATGCTAGTAACTGGCTTTACTGTCGTCACCACCCAAATAACAGGAATAAGGCGAAAAAAATCCCCCCTTCTGGACACGGTGCCGGGAAATCTAAATTTACGCCTGCTCCTCTCAGCAGCATGGACCCCATGTTTTCTTCAGTTGTTTCTGGACATTCATACAATCCCGGACGTCAACAACCAAAGCCTCAACGCAGCATCCCTTCTCCTATCCATATGGAAGAGCAGAGTAAAGCATCAAAGCCACAACCACCTGCCCAGGCTCCAGCTCCGACTCCGGATGACGGAAGCTGCACAGATTTCGTTTGATTCGACAAACACCTTTCCGATCTCAAAGCTGTTTTCGTTGCGAGATTTCAAATATATTTCAGGCGGACATGCCCACAAGAAGTCCAAAAGACACGCGTGAATCCCAACTTAAAGTTGAAAACTTAAAAAAATTACAGAAAGTTTCGAATCTACTCAGAAAACTGAAGAATGTGCGAACTGGACTGAACGGGGATTCTTAATTAATCAAGGTGTTCTCTACCGATATGTCCCTGACTCCGATTCAGAAAAAGCCCAGTTAGTAATTCCAACTGCCGAGCGTGAATCAATCATGCGGAAGCAGCATGATGACCCAATCGCTGGACATTATGGAGAGAAAGGAACATTCCAAAGAATTGCCAGACGCTATTATTGGACTGGTATGAAAAAGTACATATCTGACTATGTGAAAAGCAACCGCTACAAGGCTACCAACCAAAAGCCAGCTGGACTGCTAAGAACCCCTGTCTATTCTCAACGTTTTGAGATCATATCTATTAATTTGTTTGGGCCACTGCCAAAACTGACACTGGAAAACAATGGATCTTCATTGTGGAAGACTGTGCTATGCGATGGGTAGAATTATTTCCTCTTGCTCAAGCTACAGCATGCGGCTGCGCTATAACCCTAATCGAAGAAGTATTCATGTGGCATGGTATACCACGAAGAATCATCAGTGATAACGGCACCCAGTTTATCAGTGCAGTCATGCAACAAGTTTGCTGCACATTAAATATCAATCAAAACAACTCGATACCAGTTTACTTTCCTCAGTCAAATCCTGTGGAACGGAAAAATAGATACTTAAAACCTCGTCTTGCAATCCTAGTAGGAGATGCGCATGACAACTGGCATTCGAAACTCCCAGTTATTCGCTTCGCTATGAATATGGCCGTCTGTGACACTACAAGGCCATACACCAGCATTCCTAATGTTTGGAAAAGAGCTGAGGACTGCCGATGACATTGTTCACGATTTCAAAGCTGTGTTTGAAAATGATAACTTTGTTCCTGAAATCACCCCTTATCTTAAACAATTCGCAACTATTACAAAGGACATATGAGAGCATATCGAAATAAAGCAAGTTCAACGTAAAAAGCAATATGATAAAGGAAGGCGACAAGTGTTTTATTCACCAGGTGATAAAGTATGGGTCAATTTACATCCCGTTAGCAATGCAAAAAACAAAATGACTTCAAAGTTCATACCCAAAGTGTGACGGTCCATATTTGGTAATGACACAGAAATCACCTACTTCCTATGTCATTTCAAGCCTTCATAAACCAAACGAATTCTTAGAAACTTAATATACGTCTGCACTGACACCTTTCAAAGACTCATCCACTTCTCCCATTCTTCTGCTCAGGAAGAGAAGTAGGCCGCCAAAAGTTACTTTGCATTTCTGAAATAATCAAGAACTTGTGATTCCAGACAGTGCTCCAAAGAGAGGTCCCCTTGCCGAGGAAACCAAAAAAACTGAGACTAGAGACAATGTTACAAGAGCTCCCAAGTCTTCCAGTTCTGTCTCCTTGAGGGACGTCGGCGGAGCCAGACGGGGAGTTTGTAATGAATCCTTAACATAAACTGTTACACTAACTGTGACAACAAGGCTGCCCTCTGGTGAGTAGCCAGAGAAATACTTCAGTAAAAGCCAAGCGTCCCACTTGATAGGTTGTATCAGACTCTTGCTCTGTAATTTTCTTAAAGTTAATTGTAATGTCCGTGTGTAACTTAAAACCTGTTAATAAATACTTGTTATACTATTCAGGACTCTTCTATGACCCTATCTAAAACGACCCCTTCACAATTTTCAATAATATCTTCAATACTATCTTCTAAGCTAAAAACAAATCAAATAATACCAAAATGAGAAATACAATATAAAATGTGTTAAAAATGTTTCTTTTATTACTTTGATGCACTTTAAAACTAACTGCTTAGTGTTTTACTTCTTCTACTGCAAATTAGCAGAGACTTGCACATCCACATATGGTTTTAAGAATATTTTAAACCATTATTTAGCAGAATATTGTTATATATTAATTAAAGGATGGATTGCAGTCATGATATTTATATCAAGAATTATCCCCTGAGAGGCATGACCAGCTTTAATCATGAGATTTTTTTGTTATTTGGTATATTTTACCTTTAAAATATTTGGCTTTCTTACTTAAATGATTTAAATGCTACCTTAATGAAAGAAAGTTTATGAAAACAGACTTAAATAATTAATTATAAAAATTTAGCTAATAAATCATGTTTAAATATAGTTCTTCATATACAGATCCAAAAAATTATGCCAATCAGAGAGTCAACTATATAAATAACACAACTGTGTATTAATTTTGTATTTAATTGTAAAGAATAATTACGATCACAAAACTTTGGAAATACTCCTAAATTTGAATACATAGATTTTCAGATATTCAAAATAACATATTTTATGCTATGAAATAAATGTCATTATTTACATGAGAAATTTCATGTTATTATTCAATCCAAGTTCCTTCACTTTGCTATACAAACTGAACTAGCACAGAATGAAATGAGAACAAAAATAAACTGATTATCAGTATGGAACATTCAACATTAATTAAAATTAATCAATTTTATTACATCATTTGTGCATTTTATGCATTTAAAAACAATGCAATTTACTTCAATGAAAAGTATGATAAACATTGATCTCACATAAATACATACACTATATTACAAACTGAAAAGAAAGCAACCCATGCCTTTATGGATAGTCCAATTTGCTAACAATTTCTCTAACTTTGTTTATCAGCACTTCATTCTCACTAGGATTTTCAAGAATACTATGCAGCTGGTTGATGTAAGAATCGATAGTTTCTGGAGTAGGAACTTCATTTGTATCTAATAATAATAATGACAATAAAGACATTAATAATAATAATAATGAAGATTCTAACACTAAAAGTAAATAATTAATTATAAAATATTATATTAAATAAAATTATAAAATTATATAATTAATAATTAAAGACAAACTTACAACTCAAAATTTCAAAATCCATTTCTTGTTTTGTGTATTTCCAGATATTTTTTTGACTTTATTTTTTTATGTACTTGAATTTATTACTTGAATACGGTCAGCAAGCTTAATGCAAGATGATTTTTTAAGAAAGGGTTAAAATTGGACAATTAAAATGTTAATTACGTGTTGTTACGAATTGCACTGATTAGTTATTTTACAATAATTTTGTAAAATATGTTATAAATGGATTTGCATATTATTATACATCACTAATCAATACTATAAGCAAATACTATTGATTTGTCTAAAGTTTATCTTTTATTTTTATTCACTACAGTCAGCAACTGCTTTCAAAATTCTCAACTTTATGGGACTTTTTGCCTCTTTCATTCACCGAATTAAATAAACTGTTAAACTCTGTAAAAATTCTTAAAATACTGAGCAGCAGTTCAGAGCATAATCAATGCAAACGATACTGTGGATGAGTTTTGGACTGATGTACAATTCTAAATAAGAACTTTCCTTTCCGTAAATTTTTATTTTTATTCAAGTTTTCAACCATAAAAATTAATTTAGTTGCATATTCTACTTTTTTTAGTTGCTTTTATCACGATAAATTTTCACTGTAATCATTGAATGATCAATACAATACATTTACTTTACTGGAGGATGAACAATTTCTTAAAATGATATTACATGTTTAATTTCTCAATAAAAAATTTAAATATAGAATAACAGTGATATTGAGGATTTTGGTTTGTATGATTAAAGGAGAATTTTTATATTAAATTAATGGTGAAACTAACTTGTTTACACCACTTTAACTAAAACAAACTTTTAATATCAAAACATGTAATTTCAAAAGCCAACTGTCAGCTTATGGTGGCTTAAAATTTGGGTATAAGTTTTTGTAGTATGCACACAACTCCATTTCTACAAATGTTGAAAATGGCATCACCTCAAAAGAAAAAAATACCATTATCTTGCTTGTCAGGAATGAAAAAAGTACTTGGCTTAAATTTAAAAATACAGGAAAATATAAAATGAAATTTATGCCAAAAATACAAAAAAGAATAAACTTAAATTTTGAAAAAAATTGTATGTGTCAAAAAACAAAAACTTGTAGTGTGAAAAATGCAAGCAATTTCTAGCAGTAGAAAAACTGTCAATAAAATACTCAGTGGAGCTATTCCACTGAGTATTTTATTAAACTATATTGATGAACTCCATACTCTTTTTGATGTTTTACATTTGTACATCGGCATAACCAGTCTTGTAAATTTAAAAATACTCCGCTGGTTGCTGTTCTGTTATCATTTCTTCAAAATGTGACAGAAACAACAGAGAAATAGCAATTAAAGCTTATAACTTTTTTTTTTTTTTTTATAAAACCTAACCTTGCTTACTTTACACAAAACCAAAGCACAATTCTTAAGAGTGTGTTATAACATCACATTTACCTGTTACTGGCAATAAACTATACTGTTTGGTAACATTGTTGAAAATGTTCAACAGCAAAATACGTATCATTTTTAAATTTAAAAATGTCCAAATATTAATATTTGCTTCATTTTAAATATTTTTGTGACTGCAAGTACATGTCTACCTGAAAATTTCACACTATAATACAAGATATCAAAGAATTTACCATTAAAGTTTCAAAACAATAAACAAAATACCTAAAAATTTGGAAATAAAAAACAGAAAATAAAAAAATTGGAATTAAATCTTTATATGCTTATTGCAGTTTAATACTTAAAACAATTTTAAGCTAGACAGTTATGATTAGAATATTAGTTTAGGAACTGATACCAAGAAAAATCAAAATATAGAACATAAAATCATATATTCAACCAGAGGTGTTCCAACTAGCTCAGGCTTTCATTCGCTAAATCAATGATAAGTACACCTGAAACGTACTGAAATAATGTCCTATTTACTGACGAAAGCAAATTTAACATTTTTGGTTCCGATGGTCAAATAACTGTTTGGAGAAGGAAAAATGAGGAATTTCATTCTAAGAACTTAGTTGGAACAGTTAAGCATGACGGTGTTCTTGTGTGGAGGTGGATGGTAGCGTCAGGACTACGTAATTTGGTATTTATTGATGGCATAATGAATAATTCTCTTTATTTAAATATTTTAAGAGACAATTTAAAATTATCAGCCCAAAATTTGGATATTGGAAACAACTTTATTTTTAATCATGATAACGATCCTAAGCATATGGCTCTCAACGTTCGCCTGTGGTGTCTCTATAATTGACCACAGGTTTTGAAAACACCACCTCAGTCGCCAGAGTTAAACCCCATAGAACACATTTGGAAAGAACTGGAGGTTAGAGTACGAAAACAGGACATCCAAAACAAAAAGTGAACTCAAGAATCAACTTGAGAACAGAAGAACTCAGGAACTCAAGTCATGATGGAAGAATGGATAAACATTTACAGAAATAAATAAATAAATAAAAAAAAGTAAAATTTATTACCATACATTTAAAAACTGTTGTGGATGCTAAAGGATATTCTACTAAATATTAATTTAACAAAAAATGAAAATATTTACTAATAAGTAAAGATTTTTTTGAAGTGTACGAAGACTTTTGTGAGATAAAATGTTTGTCAATTTTTGATTATTAATTTCTTAAAAAGTAAAGTTTCACTATATTTTAAAAATATTTCATGTAATTTTGTTACAAATAAATTATAGATCATATTAAAATCTCATTCAGAAAGTTTACATGTAATTAATAGATACAGCCCTATTTCAATGAAAATCATAAGTGTACGAACACTTTTGGGAGCCACTGTATATTTTCTGATGCAAGCACAAAAACATATGGTGCAGTCGCATATTTCAAGATTAGGTACTATGACAAAGTGCGACAAGTTTTATAATTTCAAAATGTTATCTAGCTCCACTGAAGAAAATTACTTTGCCACGATTAGAACTATTAGGAAACTTGATTTCCACACGGTTGTCTGATTATATACGATCCACATTTTCTTCTTTGAAGGAAAGTGACATTTTCATGTGGACAGATTCTACAATATGTTTACATTGGATTAAAGGTGTTGCAAACGATTGGAACCAATTTGTCCGCAATATAACATTGGAAATCAAAGAAAAGACAAATCCATCGAATTGGAATTTTTCAACAGAAAGCTGAATCCAGCAGATAAACTTATTAGGGGAGTAAGAGAAAGATCTTTAATTAATGATGAAACATGGTGGAGAGGCCCCTTGTGGCTAATAGAAGTTGATGTTCTAAACAGTGAAGAAATACCAAATGCTGACATTGATACATTTGAAGCAGAAAAGGAGAGGGAAAAAAAAAAGAGCTGTATTGCTTTACCAAAATATGTTGAATGTACCGATAACTTGTTAAATTTGCACAGTTACAGTGACTTATCTAAGGTTCTTTGAATCACTGCATACGTCCTACAGTTTATTGATAACTGTAAGAGGAATTCTGAAAAGTGTAAAGGAGTGCTAACTGCTGAAGAACTCACAAAGGCTGAACGCTATTGAATTCGTTTTATACAGCAAAGTAAGTTTGAAAAGGATCTTATTAAATTGACATGAAAGGAACCACTTAATTCTGATTCCATATATACTATACAGTCTAAACCCGATCCTAACGGCAGAAAGACGTGTATGTCTTGGTGGTAGATTACAACATTCTGATTTTCAGTTTCAAGAAAAGCATTCATGGATTATACCGAAAAAAAAATCTAGATTCATTAAATTGCTAATTTAAAAGAGCACATGAAAACTTGCTTCATGCTGGTGTTTCAGATGCACTCACTCAAATTTGAGAAAAGTTTTGGATCATCCGAGGCAGACAAGCTGTAAAATCGTGCTTGAATAACTTTTGTTTGCAGGAAATTTAAGGCTAAAAAAGGGCATTCAAGTGATTGCTCCATTACCAGCAGAGAGAATTCATGAAGCGAATCCCTTTGAAATCATAGCTGTTGATTTTGCTGGACTTTCGTTCACAAAAAATGGAGACAAGGTTTACATTGAACTTTACTTGTGCAGTTTATCTTGAAATTGTTTCTAGCCTAAGCACTGGACATTTCCTTCTAGTATTTCGTCGCTTTGTGTCAAGAAGAGGAGTTTTCCGAATTATAAACTCTAACAATGCCGAAACTTTCAAAGGTGCAGATGTAGAACTGAAGAAGTTATATGCAAATATTGTATAAAAATTAAATAAAAACATTTTCTGAAACATTTAAGTGTGGCAAGTAAATTTAATGGTATAAGAAATTTGTGAGCCAAACTTTAATTAGGTAATTGAGAATTTTTACCTAATGTTGCAATTCATTCATGAAGCTGTAATTAACCTTAAAGAATGAAATGAAATAAGCTGTAATTTGTCATCGAATATAGAATTCAGAAGGTCCCTTTAGACATAATTTAAAATCTGAAAAGCCTTTAGATGTTTTTAAAAATTGACACTACTTCTTTTGGTTTGCACTGCTTTTACTTTTACTACTATTTATGCATTCATTCACTATTTATAATTTTTTATGGCCCTGTGTATAAGTCGACCCCCCCACTTTGACGTCTTTTTTTTTGTCCAAAATATCTCGACTTATACGCGGGTATATACAGTATATGATATATATATATTTTATTATTGTGTTCCTTTTTTATTTATGTGTGTGTATACACACATAAAGAAAAAATCTGATGTGTACACCACATGACTTTCTTGTACGGAATATTAAATTATACGCATTTTTTCTTGCATTTCATTTAAACTTATTAGATTGAATTAAATCTACTTCGCCGACAGCGCATAAACCACAACAGAATAAATGCATTCTTTAAAATTGACTCTAGTATTTGTTTACCATAGCGACACTCTGGGGCTAGATTCACTTAACAGTATTAATAATTATATGACAGTTAACTTATATAATAATTATATAACGGAACTAACTGTTATATAATCCAAATTATATAACAGTTACTTATATATTTCGTTCATATTATAACTCATAATGGCACAAAATTTATATCATTTAAAGAATAGAATTATCTAATCGTTGCCACATGTTCTATTCAAATACTATAATAAAGCTAGAATGATGTATAAAAGAAATTAAGCAAACAAACAACAACAACAACAAAAAAAAAAAAAAAAAAAAAGTTTTTCACAGACGATTGAGTATTTCTCATTTAATTAATTCAGTTCTCACTTCACGAGAAGGCAAAAATGCATAAAAACTCAAAATATCTATATTAAAAATTACGAAGTAAATCTTAAACACTTATTTCTTCGAAAAAAATTCCAGAAAGAATTAAGCATGATTTAATTTGCAATAATAAATGAATGCGTTATCTTTGTTGTTGCAAAGTTAAGTTTCTCTAGATCGGCAACAAATCCACTAGTCTCTGTTTCAAATGTAAACATCAATGGCCGCCATATAAAAAAGGCTTAGCGGCACTTAGACAACTTTAAAATTGTTGATAATTCTCAAAATATTGCATACAGATTTACTAAAGGCATAAAAACCTTAACCGGAAGATAAAAAAAAACATAATACAATCATTTTTAAAGCAAAAAATGTACAATTTACAAACATATAAGAGTAAAGAAACTGAGATCACTGAGCCAGGTAACAGAGTGGATATATATGTATAAATATATTTATATACGTTTGGTGCGGCCGATTGCAACCAAAATACGAGGTGCACATCTACACGTTATAGCAGTCCTATATACAAAATTTCAACGTTCTGAGGCTACTCGTTTTTGAGTTATGCGAGATACGTACGTACATACGTTTGTACAGACGCCACGAAAAATTCTCTTCAGAATTCATTTTAAAGCAGTTTTATAATTTTTTTGAGGAAACAAGTGTTTTATTCTGTCCTTACATACAGATATCACGGAAATACATCGTTAAATTGCATTTGAAATAGGTCAAAATGGGATATTTTCGTTGAAATATGCTGCCTGAAACTTTTCGCGATTACAATACTTCCTTTTTACTTCGTACAAGGAAGTAAAAAGGTACGAAGTAAAAAGGAACACAATAATATGCAAATGCATCCAATAAATAACACATGCACATAAATCATTTTTATGATTGACAATTACAACTATTCCCATCTAATAATCAAAAGTGTGAGCTGCTACTTACAGTATACAATGATAAAAGGCACATTAAATTATTCTTTGAATTATTTTTCTCAAAGTTTTAAAAAATTAAATCTAATACTTAAACTTTCGTTAATGCTAAATATCATTAATGCGTTATCATTAATGCAAAATACATAATGGAGTAATGCATTATATAATACTATAATTTTTTAATTATAAAAAATATTTCATACTTGGCAAAGGGAAATCAGCAAAACTGTCTAATAGCATATTTCTCAAAGCTTCCAGATGTTGCTGCAGGCCTATGTTATTGCTACGCTGTTGTGCATTTTCAATTTCCAGCTTTTCAATAGCAGATTTCATATTTTCAATATGTTTAGTAAGGATTGCATTTTGTTCTTCATATTCCGTATTTGATTTCCTCAACTGCCTCAGCTCCGCTTCTCGAGCTAAATACAAAAGATTAAATATTATGAAGGAGGGAGGGGAAGAAAAGAAAGATTTAGAGATAAAAAGATTAAGATAACAGGAAATGAACATAAAAGAGCTCTACACATACATTGAACATAAAAGAGCTCTATACATACAATGTTCTTCAAGGGGAAAATAAAAGGGCCTTTTCATACGAGTTTTTGTTTATTTACATAAAACTGAAAGGATATGTCATAAATTTCCGAAACATAATTTTTAAGAGCTAGATTTGTTCTTTTTAAATAAAAAATATTTTTCTATAACATCTTAAAGAAATAACATATTTTATCAAGCCCTAAAATTTACATTTGACTTAAAGATGCAAGAAGTCACAAGTGGCTCAAATGGTATGGTGGAAGTTGAATTTACCTCATAATGAGTCTGGTCTAAGTTTAGAATAAAGAGAAATATGAACGTGACTCCATGGTCTTTAGAGAATGGTGGCATGTAAACTCTATTGATCTTAAAGGTGGTGATTAAAGAAAGAAGAGTATGGATCCTCAGATTCCATCACGTAGGATATTCTCAGTCAAACAACATTCTTCTACTTTACCTAAATTTAATAATTTGATTTTGGAAATATTGTTTTAAATGCGAAATGAGCACAAAACATTACGAGATAAATTTAAAGATATTGTTTCTTCCTTTTTTTAAACAAAGTCTTTTATCGGATCAGATTTCATAATGAGATTTCCACCTTTCCAACAACAGTTAAGATAATTTAATTTTTTTAATTATGATGTAAATTACATACACTTCAGAATACAAACAATCCTTGCCACAAAAACTGATATCAATTTTAATTCTATTCAAATTAAAATTTTCATTACATTAAATTAATATCAATTTTTTTAAAGAATATTAATTTCCAAGTACAACTCTATTTGAACACTGCATCAATAGAAAAAATTGTCTCAATTCCTTCAATTACTAAGAACAGATTACCATATAACCTTCCTTACGGTATATAATGAATGACTGCACCTAACCCACTTTCCTCTTCCAAATGGTAAATGCATACAGACTAAATACGTAGATGATAATTTTTTCTAATGCACTAGCTTCACATGATAAATATTTTCTGCATCAGAAGAAAGATATATTAAAAAATAAGACAATTGCTCATTCTACTGCAAATCAATAAATCTTTCTTCTTTTTCTGTTAAACCATATTGAAGGCAACTTTTTAAATGCTGACATTCTTTGAAGACAAGACACCTTTTCCCTCATATATGCATAATTAAAAATGGTGTCCACTTTAGAATCAATGGCATTTAAGAAACAGATTTTTTTTTTTTTTTTTTAAATTACAAATTATTCCAAATTAAATAGGAATACTGTTATTGTCATTATATTAAAATTAATTATTTATAAAATACTTGTTAACAATTTTAGCAAGTTTTTTCCTTAAAATCAAAATTCTTAACTTCAGTTTGTGATCTGAAGTTAAGGGGGCTCATCTTAAAAATCCAAGAAATACAATATAGGCTAAAAATAAAGTAACTACTAAAGCAGTAGAATCTAAAACAACAATCTTGATTTATGTATATGTACTTTTGCTTTTTAAAACTTTATCCAAAATCACTATTATAGAAAAAATTCCTTTTTTATTTAAGAATTATTTTTATCAAGTACAGAATGATAATTGAAGTGACATTTTAAAGTCAGTATTTCTTAATTTCAAATATTATAAATTTGTAAAAGTTTCTTCCTCCTTTATTTACTTTTCGAAGTAAAGTGAAGCTGTGAATTTGGCAAAGACTAAAAAGGGGGGGGGAGGCAGATATAAGAAACACACACAAGAAATTTTAAGCTTAGGCTATTATAAAAAATAGAATCAAACTGATTAAGTCGTACCTTTATTATGGTCCAAGAATTCTTCAGTAAATATAGGAATGTCAAAGCCTGGAGCTTCACCATCATGATGTGCTTCATTCATAGGCTATAAATATTATTTACTTTTAATATCTTAGATTATAAAAAATACAGCTAAGAAAATAAATGACACTTTCTGAATATTCATAACCTGAACAAAAAATCATAAGCTTGTATTCATCCTGAGACCCGATCAAATAATTCCACCACAAATCAGTTTAAATATTAGAATTATAGAAGTTCTCTGTAACAGTGGTATGGTGTTTAACTTGCATGATGGAGACCCATGACTGAGACAAAGTCATTTAACATTGCCAAGGGCACCAGGAAATGCCCTTGGCAATGTTAAATGACTTTGTCTCATTAATGGAAAATTTTTGTCAGATATTTCTTGCTAATGGCTCATTTTCAGTTTTATTGTACTTCCCTTTCAAATCATGTATGTACTGCACTGAAACTTTATAACAAACTTACACAGGTTCTTAAATTAGAATACATTAAATGGATTTGTGGGAATGGATTCATCTTTACCAGTAATCTGCCCTAAATAACAATCATCAGAATAAACTTCAGTTTTCTTATATTTTTTCCAACTTGGAGAAAAATTTTGTATTCATTATTATACCCCTTTTGGAATGTTTTTATTGCATTTGCTCAGCATGACCATCTAGCATGTCTCCAAATAGTGAAATGCATTTCATTTTTGATCAATTTAGATTCCAGAACATTCCATTTATGGCATCATGTATTATCACAACCACTTTAACTCCTTAAGGACCAGTGGCGGGAGAACGAAGCGCAGTCACGGGATTGGACCCGCTGAAATGGATCGTTGCCACTGGCCCGTGCACTTTCAGCAGCCTAATTTTACAAAACAAACAAACAAACAAACAAACAAAAAAAAAAGTATAAAATCAGCATTTTGTTATTATGACTTTAATTTTTGAAGTTGCATATTTAATGCAATATAAAGAATATCACATTATTAGAAATAAACAGGCAAAATATTAAAATCATAACCATAACACAGAAATAAATACTATAAACATGAAAAAAATTACAAATATGCAATTACCTGTAGGTAATTAAATTCCAATTAAATTTTGCTGTGTGTGAAATAATTCAAAACAAGGATCGACACACAGTCCTACATTGCATATTTTGCACTCAAAATACGTTGGCTTTAGCTTTTCCTTGGTTTTAGTGCACACAACGCATCTTCTTCTACCTTTATTACCTTTTCTGTTAACGTAAATTTTCAGAAACAGTCTTCCAGTTAGACGGAAAGGTGGAGTGTCCAGTGATTTTGGACAAATTTTTAAGTTTTTAAGTAAGGTATCTTAGCCATGGCTAACGGAAATGAAACTGAATATAACCCAAACATATGCCCCAAAACTTCTTCAAAAGCCACTCAGAAATATTTCATCCTCAAACCCTGTCTGACATCAGGTTTATATTAGAAAACTTCCTGTTTTTCTAAATCTGAGACAGTGTCCACGATGACCGTAAAGTGATCAATGAAAGACCCCCACTGGCGGGATATCCATTACAGATCATGTCAATATATACATTATATATAAAGTAAATAAATTATATACAAAATATAATGCCTGTGTCATTATACATAATGACCATTCAAGCATTATATATAATGACCTATTAAATCGAGTAAGAAAAAAACTCTGGCTCTTTCCTGAGAAATGTGGACAAGTAAGAAGCATTACACGCCGAGAAGGCTGACAGTCTTTTCCCTTCTGTAATAATGTTGTAACGTTACTTTTTAATTAACCAAGAAAGCTTATGTTAAGTTTCAAAATAAAAAGAAGAAAAAAAGAAAATCCTGATGAAATAAACAAAAATGCCTGTGTCCCTTTACCTCACAGGCACACTTATAAGAAGCTGTGATTCCCAGTTTGTTTATTTCTATAAATCTTTCAAAACCAGAAGCACAAAACAGAAAATAATGTCATATGAATCAACCCATGTGAAAACAGTTACCACTTAGAGCCATCTACTGGCTTTTAAAAATTCAAATAAATCATTCCGTTTTAAAGTTACATATACGTGACGCTGGGCTGGTAGGAGTGGAATCGTTGCATCATGTAGATAGGACGGAATGGTTAATAGAAGTCACCAAATTTTTGGAATGGGCCAAACTCTGGCAATTATGCTCATAACAATCCTTCAGTCAAGCAATGTCACCATTTTTGCATGTCTTCTTTTTGTTGTATTTTAAATTTCAATGGTCTTAAAGATAAATTATGATATTTTTTTTGCATTAAGCTCAATTTTAAAATAACCACTTGTGGAATTTACCAACAGTGGGAAAAAAGAATGCACTGAAACTTCTGCAAGAATACAATATTTTGCGACAAAATCACTAAGCTGTTTTGAATGTGTTATTAAAACAACTGTCATGGAATTTCCTATTAATAAAAGCTATAAAAACAAGTTAGTAAGCAGATTTATTGATTGGTTTTTAATACAAATATATAATTAGATGTAAAATATATATGTGATTGATTTTTGGTACAAATATCTAATTAGAATGTAAAATATGTGCACTAATATTTATTGTATGTAATAAATGTTTTTTTTTAATCAAACTAAATGATTATTTATGTCATTGCTCTTTTTCATCAGTAAAAAACTGCCAAACTGAACCAAAGTGGTTACATTAATATGTAAGTACTCCATCTACCAGCTTATATGAAAAAATACATACAGATTCTTTTTCCTAAATTAAAATATAGCCTAACACATACATACTATTCAGCACTTGTATTTTCAATTAAATTAAGTGAATGCGTTGAACAATACAGTGTGCTTTTCATTATACTGTTTAATTTTGACCTCCAAACTCGAACACTAACCAGGCATATTTGCTGCATTATCACAGCTCTGACCTCAAAGTCTTCAGTTTCTCTTTTTCACAAAATGAAAAAGTGATGACAAATAATATGAAAAAGGAAATTTTGTGCAACATCAACTGAGAAAGTTTATGAGTATATATAAATGCTTGTTTAATATGATATTAAATTTATTTGATGTGGATTTAGTTTTAATAATTTTGCTGTGGAGCTAAAGTTATTATGCATATGATATGTCACAGTAATGTTTTCTACAAAGTAGATGATTTAATAAAAATCCGCCATACAATTAATAATTTCGAAGATTGAAAAATAAATTTAAACTAATTAACAATAAAATATCTTAATCAAAGGAAAGATATCATCCAATAATTCCAATACTTCAACTCAATATGTCAAAAACATACCTAGCAACAAAATAGAAATGACTTTTATAGTCTATTATTCTGTTAATATTTAAAAATGAAAATACATAACTTACTTCAACAGTGGACGAAGTATAGTAAGATCCATCACCATCTTCAAATTCTAATTATATTTTCAAAGAAAGAGATTAAACAATGCATTACTGATCAAAAATTAAAAGTAAACTTGATTTCTAATTCTGTATTACTAATGAATATAATAATTACCTTTCCTCTTCTTTTCTTGCTGTTTCTTAAAAATTTTATATGCTTCTGTTTGTTGATATTGTTCCAATTCTTTCATATAGCGCTCTTTATCCTTTTCAGCTTCTTCTAAATATTTCTATGATAAAATCAATTAAAAAAATTAGAAAATTAAAAGTCAAAAATAATAAAATAAATTTAAAAACTTCTTTCAAATAGTTCTATGATGAAACAAATTAAAAAATCTGATATGATGATGACTTCCTTGTATGGTCTATTAAATCATACACACTTTTTGCTGCATTTCATTTAAACTTATTTCATCGAATTTCATTAGAGAAATATTTCTCATTCAATAAATTCAGTTCTCACTTCGCATCAAGGCAAAAATGCATAAAAAAAACTCATATTTTAATTAAAAACTGTAAAATACAGAAAAACATAAAACACCTAATACAGTTAAAAACAGTTAAGAAAAACAATTTTTACAATTAAAATTAGAGTTTCTTTGCATAAACAAGCAATTTGGACAGTGGGCAGGAAGACAGATTTTTTTGGTGCACAAAAGTGCAAGCTTACTTTTGGTCCTATTTGGAAAACAAAAAAACAAAAAAAAAAAAAAAAAAAAAAAAAACACTGAATTTGGTGCAAGAAATTGACTCGATTCACTATTCTACTACCTATTTCAAATGTAAACAAATGGCAGCTTCATTAGGCTTAGTAGCACTTAAACAAATTTTAAATCGTTGATAATTCTACATTTATTGCATGCAGATTAATTAAGGCATAAAAACCTTAACTTGAACATAAGAACAACATAATTCAATCACTTTTGAAGCAAAAAATCCACAATTTACCAACATATAAGAATAAAAAAAACAGAGTTAACCGAGCAGGGTAACAGAGCAGGTATGTTTAAATATATATATTTATATGCTTTTGGGGTGGCCAATTGCAACCAAGAAAGGTGCACAACTACATGTTATTAGCAGTCCCATTTATAAAGCTTTAATGTTCTGAGGCTACTCATTTTTGAGTTATGTGAAATGTATACATACATACATACATACCTACAGAGCCACGAAGAAAATATCTTCTGAATCCATTTTGGAAAAACAGTCCTTTATTCTGTCCATACGTACAGAAGCAAAAATAGGATTCAAATAATCAAAACGGACATTTTTGTTGAAACATGATAACCAAAATTTTTTGAAATTACAATACGTCTTTTACTTTGTACAAGGAAGTAAAAATGAAACAATTACATAAAATTATTTTTCCAACATATTTAGAAATATTTTAGTTCATTTTTTTTATTTTCTCACTTTTATAACCAGTCACAGTTATTCAATTTTGATGAAAATAACAAAGCTTACTTTGTTCAGAAGAACGATATTTTAATGCTGAATTATAATTTAAGCACATTATATGGATTTAATTAATCATCATATAGAAACAGTTTTTTAAAAAATTAAAAATTATGAATGTTTCTGTCTTTTATTCTTCAAAATTTTCCATTCTTAGTACATTTAATTACTTAGCTGTTCAGTAATATCACTTCAAAGAATTACTGCTTTTGTTTTAAGCAACTTTTGATGTAACAAATACTAAAAAAAATGTAACATAAATACCTGCTTTTCTTGAGCTGCTAATTTACTCCAGTCACAAGCAAGAATTTTAGTTACTTCAGAAAAACTGGCACCAGGGTTTTCTCCTCTCACTTTTTCACGATTCTCATTGAGATATCGAACATAACCAGTGAGAGGTTGCTTAGGTGCATTCATATCTCTCGGTCCACGACGCCGTTTTCGACCCTTTGGCCAGCCACCTCTTCTCTTCTGGGGAAAATCGTTCTTAGCAAGAATTTGCATAATAAATGACCAAGGACTCCATAAAAACATACAATTGTAATGCATCAGATATAAGAATGAACATACATAAAACATTTAAACTCCAATTAATCAGTTAAACATATATCAAGTAGAATACTGATCAAAGGAAATGACACATTTTTTTAGTAAAAATGATAATGAACAAGAATGAAATATGTGTTAAGTGCTGAGTAATATCATATACAATATTTAATTTTGATATACAGTCAAAAGTCTTTAATCCGGACTCGTCGATTCCGGATTATCGATTTTTCCGGATTATAGAACATCAGTTTAAATCTGGTAAGATGGCATGCAGAAATTATAAAATTAAAAATATGAAACCATAATTTATGAAATAAAGAACAATTATGATCTAAAGAGTATCAAAATTTACAAAAAAAAAACAAAAAAAAAAAAAAAAAAAAAAAAACTTAATATTTATTTGTTTACTTTATTAAACATTTCTTTCAATATAAGTTGTTTAAGTTGCTTCGTTTTATGTGATAATACTTTCTCTTTAATTCTATAAACAGACATAATTTCTTGTTCAGTTACAAAGTTCCGCTGTTGAAGTCCTATAATTGCTGTGTCGAGAATACTGACTAATTTGTCAATCGAAATTTTTTCGTTTTCAATAACCTCTGTGCCACTTTCATCACTATCGGAAGCGAATTATAATGACGAGGAATTTGATTTAAATCATATCAAAGACAGAGTACATCAAGATGAAATACTACATTTAGTAAGAAATTATAAGCCAAATAAAATAAAAACATCTGCCCTGAAGATAAGGATAGTGCTGACAGATCAACTTCCGATTCATTGCGCACCGCGGCGTTTCCCCCCCCCCCTCGCAGAGCAGCGTGAAATTGATAAACAGATTTCGGAATGGTTAGATAAACAAAGGATTATGCCCTTATCCATTTTTTGCAGCAATTCCACTTTTTGTTTAATGGACTTCGAAACATACTTTCGCTTTGCAGATCCTTTACGTATTAGTAAATATATATCGGAAATTTTATTTGACATAATCGAAAGTTTAAGCTTACTTTTATAAAATTGCTCTAACATTCTGCAAAAAATAATAAGCCGGATCCAATTCGAAGAATAAGGAACAACGCAATCTGCAACATTAACTGAATTAGATAATTTTAGCTTAGCTTATACCCTCCGTTATACATTAAACGCGCAAGCGTAAACGTATTGTGCGCATGCGCACACGCATATTCGCAGCCGTAAAGGTCTTACGTGCATGCGTCAACGTGACACATGCGCAGAAAATTTGGAGCTTTGAGGTTCGGATTATAGATCATTCCGGATTATGGGTGTCCGAATTAACGACTTTTGACTGTAGTACACATCTTTTTTTCTTACAGCATGAATATTATAATTTTTATAATACTCAATATTTTAATTTTAGAATAAATGGTTCCAAAATCTTCCCTTTTTAAAAATTTTATATTATTTTTAAGAAAAATTAATCAAGTGCATAAGGTATAAAAAATTAAAATTATTGATCATCAATCAACTAAATACATGACATAGTTAATAATTATAATTTATTGCATAATTAATTTTGACCTTCTACAGAAAAGGAAATATCAACTACAAACCACTGAAATTAACTTATTCAGTAACTTTTTCATTTCTCTTTTTTACTTTCATTCTGGCAAGTTATGTAAAAATAAAAGCTGTAAGAATTTCATATGCTCCTATATCATTTGAAACATTTAGTACACTTAAATCCCATAAAATGTAATTTTGAGATACAGGTAAATAAATATATTTTAGTAACATTAAAATTCATATTTAATCCATGAGTGAGGTATTTTTCAATGATTGGAATGTATCAAAAATGACCCTCTTCAAATTACTAAACACTTAAGGAAAATGGTAGAAATAAGCAATCTGTATATATTTATTAATGCTGAAATTATTGGAATAATTTTAGGAACAGGATTCAGTGGATGATTAACTTCAACATTTTTATATTACACTGTGTTTAAATACACAATATTCATAAGTATTTTAATAGAAAAAAAAAGTAGGATAGATCCCAAATTACAGAATTTATTACTTAATGCTTTTTTACAGTGCTTTATATGTGAATTGCTGACTATGATAACCAGTGTACAATAGTGACAACCAGTATTACAATAACCACTTAGCTCGTCCTTAATCACTAAGCTAATTGTAAATGATTAAAGAGGTTATTGTAACATATGCAGCTCTTGATATTAAAATTAAACCCAATTCTCAAAAATAATCTAGTACATTTTTGTTCTCACATAGCAAAGTTTTTCACATGGACTGGAAGACCAAAACTCTGATAGCAAATATTTCATTTTAAAAAAGGCTAATAAAGTAAGCAATAATGCAAAAAAGAAAGCAATAATGCTTACCTCCATCATATTTGAATCCTGATCTGTATTCATAGACATGTTGCTTTCAGTTGGATTGATATCTATGAAAATTGAAAAGAATATATAAAAAGGAACATTATGAAATTAATATTAAAAAAATAAAAAAATATTTTTGGTACTTATGTGTTATCACAACCCCCTTAGTAAAGTTGCTAAATTCTGGCAACTAAGCATATAAGGATTCTTAAGGTAACCATGCTCACAACAATCATTAAGTCAAAGCAACGTTGTCGCCATTTTTGCATGCTCTTTTCATTGTATTCCACAGACTTTTATAAACAAATTGTAACATTTTATACCTTAAACTTAATTTTAAAACATGCACTTGTGGAATTTCCCAGCTATGAAAGAAAATATGGTAAAATTCTTTCAGAAACACAGAATTTTAAAGCAAAATTCCTAAATGGAACAATACATTTGGCAGACAGCCAATCTTACCAGAGTCTGCATGATCTCTGGAATTATCTGATGTTTTTTTAAGTGTAAACAAAGATTGTTATGTACTTGGGGGGAGGGGGAAGAATAGTAGAAAAAAATACAGAAAGATTTGGAGACAATATATTTCATTTTTTAATGTATCATGTAAGACTTAATTAATAATTGAAATTTGTATTTTAAATTACTAAAATCTTTTCACATGTTGATAATGTTTGCCAACTTTCAATAAATATTGATAGTTTGGGAATCTTATAAAAAAGTGTTGTGACAATACCACCCTGCACCTGATAAGTTATTTTTACCTTTTCATCCGTAAGAGATCACAAGGTGGTTGCATTAATATGTAAGTATTATAGTTTCATATGTGTATCTGGTAGCTGTATGGTTTAGACATTCTGTACAGACATACAGTCAATCAACTCTTGAGTAACTGGGGGCAATTCAAACAGGTCTTAAAAAAAAAAAAAAAAAAAAAAAAAAAAGAAGAAGGTTTGTTCATTGTGGCAGAATTATTATCACAAACCATAATAATAATAATAAAACATAATAATAATTAGAATAAAGCAAAATTTTAAATGTGGGGGGAGGAGGGAAGAAAATTTGTACGATCATACCAATGATAGCCATGATATTACATTCAAGATTTTTTTTATCCATAAACGAACATAATTTAATTTTACATATACTGTAATAAATAAACATTAAATCATCTGTTAAATATAAAGTGCTGAAGACTCAGTTAATAATCTCCTGTTTCCAATCGATGCCTATCAAAATGCAAGAGCAATGTAAACAAAAACATTGTTTTTCAGTTCTGAAGTTGTTCTCTTTTCGAACGCTGATTTAATGTACATAATCAAATGGACATGTTCTCTAAATTAAAACTACTTAAAAATGAAGGTTAATTGTGAAAATCCATTTTTCTGTTAATAACAGTGCAAGTTATTCCACTCTCCTGTGCTTTTTCAACTTCTAGGAGATTAATTGACATTGTCCCAGATGTTTTCCCTGTTCATTGGGGTGGTTATTGCATTTTAGTAGCAAAATAAGATACAAAAATGAATTGAAGCAAGATGCATTTACATTCAAATTTATTTACAAATATTTTGAAATTTTAAATATACTACAATATCTATCATTTTATTATATAACAATGCATTAGTATTTAAAGTATGGCCTTACAAATGCTGTATTAACTCTTAATATTTACTCATATAAGATTTTATGTTTTGAAATGAAGAAAATTTTTAATTACATATTAGATTTGAAATTCATTTTGTATTACTGAAATAAATAACCTATATAAAAATTCTTACCAGATGGCAAAGGAGCACTGATATTTGTATGGGCACTCCCATTATTGCTTGGAGGAGCAGCAATATTTTCACCTTGCATTATAAGGTGCTAAAAATAGAAGAAAGAGGAAAAAAATCAATACAATTAAAAATATGCTAGCTAGTTAATTGACTACAGTAAAAAGTAAATAAGGGTTATGATCACTGGACTATATTTTGAAAAAGCGTGCTTCGGATGAAGAAAAGGAGAAGAAGTGCTGATGCTACTCAAGGAGTGAAGCAAAGGGTATCGGAGCTCATCAACACTATCGACTATGTTTAGAGGTACACTGTTCAGAGCTCCTATTATTTTATTTATTTATTTATTTTGGAAACGCTGTAATATTTTCTCACATGCTTAAGTAGCTTGTGTAAATAAATTCTGATGCTAATATAAATAAGAGCTGCATCTCACTTTGTGAAATTTTGCCAATTATTCTGATATGGACACAACATAAAATGATAAATTGATGACCTGGTTTCGGAGTATGCACATAGACTGAATTTTGCTAATCTTACTCCATCGATGAAGCACAAGGATTTAAGTGGACTTTTTATCATCAAGAATTACAACAAGCTAGTTTCTTTTATGAAATATTTTGCTCATTTCCTAAAATGGAAAACAATGATATAGATCAAGCTGCTGGAAATATAACATGTGTACTGGTGAAGTTCCTCTTTTCCAGACAGCAAATCTAGAAATCTGGTTCCGGCAGATGGAATGCCAGTTTGTGTTGGTCGATGTAACAATGGAGCGCACAAAATTCCATCATGCAGTTTCCGCTTTACGACCTGCGGAGTTAACGATAATGGGAGACGTTACTCTTAACCTTCGAACCAAAGCTCTGTATATGGTAATCAAGAACCATCTCTGCAGACAGTATGCCAATAGTGAAGAACAGCGGCTTAGAGACCTCACTTACAGAATGCAGCATGATGACAAAAAACCATCGCACCTCTTACTCGAGATGTGAAGAGAGGCTGGCTCATAAAGGGTGAAGATCTTCTTTAATTGCTTTTCCTGCAGTGACTACCAATACACTTCCAACAAATTGTAGCCATTTCCAATAATGTGTTAGGCAAGGTCACCAAGATAGTCGATGGTACGGCAGCCACTGAAAATGGTGTTCTGGTGTTTGAAGTAAAAGTGAAAGACTGCGTTAAAGGACTTGTTGATGGCTATTTTATCTTGCATGCTTTGGATTGAAACAATTCCAAATTACAGTCAAATGTACGAAAGCAGCAGGGCAAAAAAATGTCAGTCATCAAGCCACCAACGACGGGGTAATACAAAGCACTGCTAGTACTATCAGCGGTTCACGGAAAAGCTACCCAAGTGGACAAAAAAAAAAAAAACTGTACCTTGCAGGTGGAAACTAATACCACTGTCACTCGACCTTTTGGGTAATGACAAGACCAAAATTTATTATTTATACCTCTTGGACCACAGCACCAAAATATCTGATTGATATGAAACCACACAACTTGGTAGTTCCGTAATTTTTTTCTAGATGTATATTAAAAAGTTAAAAAACATTAATAATCCTTTATTTGTTATTTTTCATGAATCTTAATTGTAACTCTTTCTATTTCAATAATAGCTCACATACATTTATTTGATTTCTATGCATGATGAAAATTGGCATGAAGCTGAAAGCTAACAGATTAAGGGCATTAAAAGTTAATATTTTAATTAATTCATGTAAATAACATATGGAATTTCTCATAAATAGTAAGTTTACATTCATCCAGAACATAAAAATATTTATTTGCTGAATTTTGCTACACTTATAATTTTTTTTAAATGTATTTTTAATGTAATATAAATTTAACTGATTCAAGTCCCCTCTCAAAATCAAAACTGGCTTACCTAACAAAATTATAGATACTGAAATATATAAGATAGTTTTATAAAAAATTACAAAATCTTGTTTGTAAATAACATAAATGTACAAAAATATAACAACGAAAAGTAACTAAATGGCATAATCAGTTTTACCTGATTGCAAAACGTTTCATATAAAAAATAAGACATTTTAATTCAGATAGAAACTGATCAAATTCACTCTTTTTACCCAACAAGAGTTAATTAATAAGCAAGTTCCAACCATGTTAAAACTGACAGCATTAAATTTACTTTCCTTCAAGTCTGAGTTCCACAGTTTAAAATCCAGCATAATGCCAATGAAAGAGTGCATTAAATTAAGCAGGTGCTTGAAGTCCTCCTACAATTTATGCGGTTCATACTTTTATAAACTATTCCATTCTTTTACAGCAGGATCCATAACATACAAACTGCACAAACTTAAGGATATTTTTCAGAAATTTTAAAAGTAAAAAGGCACCCAAAATTATAATAATTTATAACTGTCCTTATCTTTCTAGAATATAATATATCTTCATTTGAAATATAAAATAACTTTGACTTACTGGTTAATCTTTACTGTATGGTACCCCTTGATTTTTGTCTGAAAAAATCAGCAAGTGGTATTGGCTGTTTATAAAATCTGGAAGACCGCTGCATTTCTCAGTAACACTAATGTTGATAATGTTGGCAAATCTAGCCTTGGGGAATTTTTTTAAAAAAGTTTTTGGCATTAAAAAGGGGTTATTTCTGCGAAAATTGGCAAATGTGTTGTGATAAATTTAGATTTTGGCTATTTTTTGTAATAGAAACCATTTTATATGGATCTGGATTTTTGGTTCTTACGATTCTTTTCAATTGCTATGCTTGGTTGCAATGTGCGTGGTGTGCTCTTGTATTTTGAACTTGCTATTATTTTTCTGTGGGTACCATCATTTGAGTATGTCCGTGACTAAGAGGATGAATGTTGATGGGTTGGATTATGATGAAATTGTGAATTTGAGGTTTTTGTATTGGTTGGATGATGGCTTTATTTTGCATGAAAGCTTGTTTAATTGCTGATAGATATGAATGAGCCAGAACGACAAACAATTTAACTGAATTGCTTACCTGGAGAATGGAGAAGATAGTGGTGGGAAGCCTAAACATATGCACGTGAAAAAAGGCATGTTAAAAATTGACGTTTCATTTATTTATCATCTCTGTGTATTAATTTTCGTTAAAAGATTTGTTGTTTAATGTTTTTATGCTAGGAAATATGTGTTTTTGATTGTTTATTCCTCTCTGCCTGTATATTTTTGGTTATTTGTTCGTCTCTGTATGTTAAGACAGAGGCAATTTTTTTCTGGTTACCATGACAGTTTAAACTTTGTTTTAGCTTCCCGATTTTTTTTTTAAGAGCAAATAGATCGATGTGTACATGGACAAAGTTAAAGCAGTGCACAATGGTTAGTTTGTGCAATTCTCTGATTTTTTTTAAAGTTAAAAGAAGTTGATGTGTACATGGACACCTGGTTTGTGTAGGTCTTTGACTTCTTATTTTGGTTTAAATATAAATAAGAATAAGAAAAGTTTATCGGACACGTAATCAAGATTCTGAAGAAGATTAGGTAAGTTAGTATTTTTAATTATTTGAGGATATTATTTTTATGCATTGTTCTAAATGTAAGGTGGAAGTAAAGTAATTTGGTATTATTGGGAAAATTGTTATTAGCAATGATTTAGTTTAAAGTAATTAGGATTGTAAGGTAATTTTTATTAATTTAATGTATGTGCTCATTTATATTTTTAAGTAGTGTTTTTGAATTTAATTATATTTTAATGAAATGATAGTTATTTTGTGAATTTTATGTTTGTAGGAATTTGGTATACGTTTAAGTTGAAATAAACGTGCATGGAAATAATTTAAATATTTGATATTAAGTATTTGTAATGCTTGAGGTATGAATTCGTTGGTGACGTGTATAATGTAATAGATGATTTAGAGGTAAATGTTTTTGGATATTCTATTTATTTTATATGTGGAAATGTTGATATTTGTAAAGGGTAAATACTTTTTCGCGATCATGTAATTTCATATATGTTCTTTTTACCGGGTTTAAAGATTGAGAAAATTGTCATGTATTTTCGTGAAATTTTTCTAATTTATGAGAAAAAAGCAGTGTACATGGATATAGTGAAGAGTGTGCACAATGCCATTTTTGTGCAATTATGGGATGTTTTTTTAAGTACAAATAAGTCGGCGTGTACATGGTTTATGTGTATGTGTTATTTTGAAAAATGCGTAAGGAGAATGGTATTGTGCAGTTTTTCCTAATTTTGCAGTGAATATTTGTCATGATTAAGCAGTTTTGTTTGATAAAATTTCTAGCATAAGTGTAATTCGGCTAGTAGATTGTTGGAAGAAGTGTTCAGGAGATAAAAAGAAAAGAAACATGTCTTTACTTCGTGAAGACAAAATGGCGGCGGGGAAAAAAAAATAGAGGGTTGCTGTAGGAGAGTTGGTCGCGAAATTTTCGCCAAAAAATCGCCAAGTTACCATAATGTAAAGATCAACCAAATTTTTTACTAACGATAACAATCTTTTTAATGTTAAACACGTATCTATCATAATAACCATATTTCTGCATTTCCCTCCTAGCTTTTTAGCACCAGGTTCTGAAAATTAAAAAAAAATATTTACGTATTCCTCCCCCTTCCTCAATGCATTCACAGAATGAACTCCCTTATATTTTAAAATGGATACATCCATGTACTAATTTTTTTGCATTACTAACAAAGACCAACATTCATAAACTACCTATGAAGCTCATGCCGATAATCCTTTCCCTTTTTAATTGTTGAACTTTATGCCAGCCTAATACAAGAACCGACCAGTCACGGTGAAGCAAACATTAACTTAACATTCAGTCTATGATTTCACTTGGTCAGCTGCCTATTACCCTTCTCTAATTATTTATGGATGATTTGATGTCTAAGGAGTAGCAGAAACAACAATAAGAAGAAGTGAGATTCGAGTTTCCAGATACGTAGAAATGAAGATATCATATTAGAAATTGTAACGCTAATATTACTATGTACTCTAAATATTACTATGTAGATTTCTTTAAAAGAAAGAATACTGGGATAGTTATTGCTAGTTTATCCATACCAACTAACTTTTAATTTGTTAGGGTGATACTGTAAGCTCATCCTGTGGAAACTGAATTATTCGCAAATTTTTTTCCTCTTGATTTTTGGATAAAATTAGTAAAAAAAGGGAAGGGAAAATGTGTCAGGAAATATGATATTCTGTCTTATTTCAAATAAAAAAATTTAATTTTTTTTTTCATGCACTTCTACTGGATTCACTTAAAGCGGAAAACTAATGATTTTTCGGCTGATCTTTAGAATATGGTAACTGGTAGTTTGGCGACAGTTTGGAGGCGATAAAGGTTACTACCTGGGACTTTGGTAATAATGTGAGCAGTACTCAGTTCCGATTACGCATTATTTTGTGTGAGGGAAATGAGAGATCATGGGATATGTCATGTGATATTAATGGACGAATTATGGTTCTTTAATCGGAAAAGGGGGGAAATCGGGAAAAAATCTGGAAATTTTGTATTTGGCTTTATTCTGTGTTGTGTGAAACAGTGTTCGTTAATTTTTGGATCCCATGGCCTGTAGCAATTTTAGCTGTAGCAATTTTTATTGGTAGCGTAATTAAAAATAAGGTAAGTGTTAAATTTCACATATTGAATTTTAAGGTAAGTTCAACTGCTTATCATAACAAAGTAGTTTGCTTAGCAAAGTAGTCCATTTCCAATAGGAAATGATAATCACTTGAGTTCAAACAAAGTCGAAAAAGGTAGCGGAGAAAAAGTCCAGGCTACGCTTCTTTGAGAGTTTTTTCCTTTTTCCACTCTTGACAGAGCTTAGTAGCGACTCGGGACGAAGCCATAAAATAAACACAAGAGAGAAAGGGGCTCTCTAAAGCTTACTAGCGACTCGGGACAGAGCCGTAAAATACAAGAGAAAGGCTCTCTCTTCTCTACGCAACGACTGCGTATTCTTCAGACTAAAAAAAACTCTAATTATTTTCACTCACTGTTTTTATGTCCAGGTTTTCTGGGCGTGTCTTGTGCGTCTGCTGCAGTGATTCGCTAAACGTCTTCTTCGGAGCATCTCTCCATTCTTTAACAGGCGCTGATTGTTCTCAGATACTGTCTTGACAGCCTGAGAAACTGAAATTTTCCGTGGGAAAATTCAGAACGTCTTTTTGGGAGGTCTATCTAAATTATTTCGAGAAACAGGCAGTTGGCGACAGTCTATCGCATACACACAATGGACACTCCACAACCCGTGAGAACTTGTATGGAAGTTTTCTCCTTTCGTAAAAACAATATGCTTTTCCACACTTTGTTGGGGGTCACGTTCGACCTCAAGAATTCGTAAGTGTCATCAGGGTGGTCATCTGGCGCCCATCTGAAGTCTCCTTTTCCCAGACTTCGTGGGAGTCCGTGGGAAAATAGCTGACGACGTTACAGGCCCTAACTAAAGTGAATTCGAAATGGGTATTTAGTGGGATTGAAAGGGGTAGTAATAAGTGGTTTCTTTAAGGTTGTGCGAGATAGAAGTAAAGATGTTTTATTAAGTTATTTATTTTACCTGGTACCTTGCTGTGAACTATAAGTATGATTTTAAAGATCCTGAAACAGAAATAAGAAAAGTTTATCGGACACGTAATCAAGATTCTGAAGAAGATTAGGTAAGTTAGTATTTTTAATTATTTGAGGATATTATTTTTATGCATTGTTCTAAATGTAAGGTGGAAGTAAAGTAATTTGGTATTATTGGGAAAATTGTTATTAGCAATGATTTAGTTTAAAGTAATTAGGATTGTAAGCTAATTTTTATTAATTTAATGTATGTGCTTATTTATATTTTAAGTAGTGTTTTTGAATTTAATTATATTTTAATTAAATGATAGTTATTTTGTGAATTTTATGTTTGTAGGAATTTGGTATACGTTTTAGTTGAAGTAAACGTGCATGGAAATAATTTAAATATTTGACACTAAGTATTTGTAATGCTTGCGGTATGAATTCGTTGGTGACGTTTATAATAGATGATTTAGAGGTAAAAGTTTTTGGATATTTTATTTATTTTATATGTGGAAATGTTCATATTTGGAAAGGGTATATACTTTTTCGCGATCAGGTAATTTCATATATGTTCTTTTTACCGGGTTTAAAGATTCAGAAAATTGTCATGTATTTTCGTGAAATTTTTCTAATTTATGAGAAAAAAACAGTGTACATGGATATAGTGAAGAGTGTGCGCAATGCCATTTTTGTGTAATTCTGGGATGTTTTTTCAAGTAAAAATAAGTCGATGTGTACATGGTTTATGTGTATGTGTTATTTTGAAAAACGCATAAGGAGTATGGTATTGTGCACTTTTTCCCAATTTTGCAGTGAATATTTGTCATGATTAAGCAGTTTTGTTAGATAAAATTTCTAGCATAAGTGTAATTCGGCTAGTAGATTGTTGGAAGAAGTGTTCAGTAGATAAAAAGAAAAGAAACATGTCTTTACTTCGTGAAGACAAAATGGCGGCGGGAAAAAAAAATAGAGGGTTGCTGTAGGAGAGTTGGTCGCCAAATTTTCGCCAAGTTACCATAATGTAAAGATCAACCGATTTTTCTTTTACAACTTTATTTTTTAAACATAAGTAAAGCACATTTTTTAAGTTTACATAAGTTGATAATCTTTTATCCTAAGCAAGCAAGGATTGTCAAAAAGTGACATGTTAATTTGAGCAAATGTGGCTGAAAATAAGCATACAATGAAAAATACAATTATTCTAAAAATGAGCCATAACTCAGTTTGATTATCATAAAGAAAAATGTACTGCACAGAATGACTTATCAGAAACATAAATGAAACATTAAATCTTATGAATCTGAATAAACCAAACATTTCATGAGTATATTGCATAGACCAACCTGGAACTAAAAGTCTTTTAGCAGAATATAAAAAATTTGTAGAATTATAATAGAATAGAAATTTGATTTGGTAATACAAAATTTTAAATATTTTTTGAGAGAAAAAGCCCTGTTCCCTTTCCTCTTAAAAAATAAATAATAATGAGCAGAAAAAACCCTTTTAGTAAACACCCTTCCGATTCAAAATAGCAGCCTACCAAGATTATGATTATATCAGATAATAACTAAGAGTTTCGAGTATTCAGTTGAACTGTTCTTTTAGTTTTCAAGCACGACTTACAGCTTGTTTTAAAATCTGATGGCTCAATACAAGCACATTTACTCTGTCAACTTATCAAAGCCAGCTAACATTACGAAAATACGCTAATAAAATTCAATAAAAATTACAGAAAAGGAAAATGGTACTTTTAATCATGCTTTTTCCTGTACACACTCCTGTTTCATTACGCAAAAGAAAAAATGTAGTCAACAACAGAAATTAATTACATTTAGGTTGTTGCAAATTTTCACATCTCAATAAAATCCTCAATTTCGCTAAGCAAATTAAGGATAACATGAAAGATTTCTTTACATTATACTTTTCTTAAATACATATTAGATTTCCAACAAGTATTTTTAAAGCAGCTTTTCCGTCACCGACTTCACAGTACTGAAACCGGCTTTCAGAAATTTGTATATATGGCATATATTTAATTTATCTATAAAATATACGTATATTCTTATGTAATTAAATGCTCTGATTACATTAAAACAAATAAAAAAGCTAGATAATACTTTTACCCTCATTTTCTCAATATATATCAAGTTGAAAAATTCTCAAGGGATACTGTAGTTAGCGTCTGTTTTGTTTACTTTGAAAAATCTATAAAAACATGGCGGCGATATCGATTTTTCCCACTGCGCATAACAGAAATTTGGTAGTGATCTAAATTATGTAAAAGAAATAGTAAACATATTTTTATTTACCTAAACAAGAAGCAAAAATTAAATTTTGCGCATGAAACTTCGATACCAATTTAAAAGATTTACAATTTTAACCGGATTAATAGCTATTGCCAGTTTTAATTATTAATTTAATAACTTTTCGTATTGTTCAATAGTCCTTATTTTTTAATTTCTAAAATTTTAGGTTTTTTGAAGATGATAAAAGGATTTTACCACTGCATAATCTTAATACTTTATAAATGCAAGTCTTTTTTGTAGGAAATAAGAGAGTTCATTTTAAGGAGAAAGTGACATTTTCCGAAACTTCCGCATAGCAGTGAACAGTGGGCTTTTAGAGCTCACCGAGCTTGGATTCCCAGTGAGAAGCAAGGGCAAGATTTGGGATAGCATCGAATGTTGGCTGTATTTTTCATGAAGGTTGGATTTCTTAGAAGCTCTAGGGTACTTAATTGGGCTCTAACCAATCATCAACTTTAGGGAGCTTGCACAAGCTTTTGTTCAATTTATTTCTAATTTGTGAGGCCCTCATTCTTTTTGCTTGCTTGCTTATTTATTAAAAAAAAAAAAAAAAACGCGTGTCTTGCGCTTAATAATCATCCTTTGACTTCAGCTAATCTTTCACTTCCATAGAATGAAGGTCTGTTTACATCAGCGGAATTTTAAGTCCAGCAAATGCTCTCGAAATCGATTTCTCCACTAGAAGAGGGGCAGGAGGACACTTATTCTTTTGAAGGGGGATAAACCCAGAGTACCGATTTATTTACTGCATGAAACAAATAAATAACATTGGTGATAATGCTATTCTCGTAACAAATAGATGCTTTTATGCCCTGAAAAGGTAATTAAAATTCAGCTTTCTTAAATTAAGAACTAAATTGCTTCTTTACAAAAGTCTTATAAGATTTGTCTTGATTTATGCATCAGAGACTTGGGCATTGACTTTATGTGACGAGGAAGCTCTGGGAATTTTTAAGGGAAAGTTCTTAAGCTGCATTCTTGGTGGGGTCCAAGTGAATGGATCATGGGGAAGAGGGTCTAATTTAAAATGCTATAAAATTACAAACAACCTGATATCGCAAAATTCGTCAAATGACAGAGACTTAAATGGGCCGGCCATCTGGCTAGAATGAATTGAAGATCATGAAAACCTTTCTGGCAAAGCCCATGAGAAATAGACCTCGGGAAGACCCCTGCTAAGGTGGATTGATTGCGTCGAAAACAATCTTAATATTTTGAATTTTAAAAACTGGAAAACAGTTGCCAAAAGCAGAGATGGCTGCAGAAGACGTCTGGAGAAGGCTAGGGTCCACCCCGGGCTGTCGAGCCATTGAAGATATAGATAATGCTATTCAAAATTTCAAGAGGAATTTTCAGTTGAGAGTACGGAACTAATGTCATTCGCTATCAAGGAGAATCATCAATTTCGTGTTAGTTTCTTGGGCACAAAGTTCTGCTAGTGTGAATGGGTTTTTAAACAATAGACTGGTTTCGTTTAAATCCGGTCAAATGAGCTAAAATTTAAAAAAAGGTTCTGTAAAATGTCCATTAATTGTAGTAAACTTATCGTTGGCACTTGTGGATGGTGCTGGTATGATCGGTGCTGACAACTTGCACAAAGGTGCTGAGAAACTTTCAGAGTTTGGCTTCAAGTGTGCCTGATACTCTTACGAAGACCGGTTTATACCAGGAAAAATGTCATCTTCATCAAGATGCCAGGACGACAACGTTAAGCCGACTTGGCATAAAGGCATCATTAAGAAATTGTCGGAGTGGTTTGATATGAAAATTCATGTCCACGCTTTATGCTGTGGAGTAAAAAACTCGATCCAGAAAATATGAAGTTACAACGAGCTAACGACGAGGTGTTAGGTGATGAGATTAATTTTATCAGTAGTTTATCACTAAATTCTTTTGGAGTGTTGTAACCACCTTTTGAGTCACCCTGTGAGGGCATTGTTCATTTTTCATGTTCCATGCTCTGAAATGGACCTCTTCAGAGCCATTAATTTTTTTTCCAATGAGCTTGTTGTTTATAGATGCTTGGGTCCTGTAGTTCGATTAATGTGATATCAGGTTAATATTAGATGAAGAGGTGGACTTATGGATCCGGTACCTCGGGAAATTTCCAGAATTCTGATAGCCCCATATGCCCTGTTATTGGGTTCTATGATGACGAGGTAGATGATGTAATTAATCGGTAAACAACCACTTAGCCGACGGAACACTTCACCGACACCAGTTAGCCGACAAGACATTTACCAGACAGGAATACTTAGCCGACATGGACACTTAGCCGACACGACATTTATCCGACACGGACATTTAGCCGACAGGACACTTAGCTGACAGGACATTTAACCGACACGGACATTTAGCCGACAAGACATTTAGCCGACAGGTCATTCAGCCGACACGGACAATTAATCGACAAGACATTTAGCCGACACGGACAGTTAGCCGACAGGATATTTAGCAGACAGAACATTTGGCCGACACAGAGAGTTAGCCGTCTGGACATTTGGCTACGGGACACTTAACTGTCAACGCATTTAGTCAACAGAACACTAAGCCGACAGTGACGTTTAGCTAAAACGTACCCAATAATTATTCAACTTTACTATCAATTACAAAATTTCTCGACTTCTCCATAAGTTCAATATTTAAGTTATTTTTTTCACTATCAGTAAAATTCATTTTTCGATTCTTAAAGATCTCATATGTTCTTTTAATTATTGTTTAATTTACATTGTTTGATATTTATCGTACCGTTTGGTATATATTGGCCAGATTGAAAAAGCGCTGAAATTTCTCGTCAGGGAATATGAATTAAATTTCGAAAGGAAAAAAGAATTTTTTTAGCTAAGTACGGAGGTCACTTAATTACATTTTAATATGATCTTAAAAAATTATCCGTAAAGTTTCTTCATTTAATCAAATGGGTTCTTTTGAACACTTTTACATCACTAACAATTTTTCTTGTTTACTTAATGAATTAATTTCCAATTCGTTCTTCCAATGCTTTCATTTCTAATACCTTTACGTTTACTATTTTACTCATCACATCATCTTCATTCTTCCCTTACAAAATCGGTTGGCTCCTCCACTAAGAAATTTCTTTCCCTGTCATGAAAATCTGAATACTGCAATAAATATTGTTATCTTGAATTATGCTTTTTTATATAAACATATATTGGTGGGGTTAGTTTGCAAAATATACTTTATTTTGTTATTAAAAACAATTAAAAAGTGAATTTTTAAGACAAGCTAAGGTATAAATTATTTGTGACCTCTATAATTTGCAATTCATGCCACCTTCTTAGATAGAAATTCTGTAACCTTTATGACACCCTCTCGCTAAATGTACTTAGGTTAATTTTACATCATAAATTGGTGGCATAAGTTTAATTTAGAAGTAAAATATTCTTCAAGGTTTTGTTTTATTCATAACTGAAGCTGCAGAAGGAGAGGGCCACAAACCTAGTCTGCGGCCACCTAACAGAAGTAGGTTTGGTTTATGTAATTACGCCAAAGCCAAAGGGCTATCTGGCCAAAGGAAAGATGCCGTTGTGGACCACTTTCTAATGAAAATTGGCTCGTATACACGTTACACATGGGGAAAACCACGAAAACATCCATGCAGCCTGTCTGTTCGCGGAATTCGAAATTCGGACCGAAATGCCAGGGTTCACGATTTTAAAGCTCGGCCTCTGCTGAGTCTAACAAAAATAGGGTGACCATTTTACTTAATATATAACGAGTTTCTTCAAATGAAAATTGCCTTTTTAGGCTAGAACTTTATAAATGTATTCAGAAAAATGGGCACCAAAAATTTTCCCATTACCATGTAGCTAAACCGGAAACGAGAAAGAGAAGGAATGAAAGAGGGAAAAAAATAAAATTAATGAAAAATGAATTGAAAATTTTTACATTTTTAACAGATATTGCGAAAAGTTATATTTTATAAGAACAACGTTAATATAAGTTATTATATCTAAAATTACACATCGCGACTTTCAAAACATAGAACATAATATTATGTATTTACATGACTGATCTAGTTAAATCCAGCATCGATAGATGGCACTACATTACGACCACTTTTCAGGATGTGACGCTTTGCTTCGCCTGCTTGGTTTGTGGCCCCCTCCTTCTGCAGCTTCAGTTATGAATAAAACAAAACCTTAAAGAATATTTTACTTTTAAATTAAACATTATGCTCCTATTTAGTGATGTAAACATTAACCTAAGTAAGTATTTTAAGCGAGAGACGGGGTCATAAATATTACAGAATTTCTATCTCAAAAAAATGAACAACATCATGACAACATGATAGAGGTCACAAAAATTTATACCCTTGCTTGTAAAATTCCTTTTTAAATGTTTTAATAACAAAATAAAATATGTTTTGCTAAACTAACCCTACCACATATGTTTATAAAAAGCATAATTAGAATAACAACAATTTTTTGCATTATTCAGATTTTTCATGACAGGAAAATTTTCATTTGGGAGCTAAACGAATTTGTAAGGGAAAGAATGTAACATGACGTGATACGTGAAATAGTAATGAAACATCAAGGTATTAGAAATTTGAAAGCATTTGGAAGAGCGAGATTGGAAAATTAATGCCATTAAGTAAACAAGAAAAATTATTAATCATTTGAAGGTGTTCAAAAGAATCCAGTTGATTAAATGAAGTAACTTTACGGATAATATTTTAAGATCATATTAAAATGTAATCCAGTGATCGCCGTACTTAGCTAAAAAAATTTTTTTTTTCCTATCGAAATTAATTATTCCCGACGAGAATTTCAGCGCTTTTCAAATTTGGCCCTATACACCAAACAGTACGATACTTATCAAACAATGCTAAATTACACAAGAATTTAAAGCACATATGAGACCTTGAAGAATCGAAAATGAATTTTCTGATAGGTGAAAAAAAATAACTTTAATTTGAACTTATGGAAAGTGA